GGTTACTTTCCCCCGCATCTAGGCCTACCCGAAGACAAACACTTGGATCTCCAATACTTTGACCTTTCAGGCGTGCGTCGACGATATATCGAGTACAGCAGCTTCTCAAGATATCTCACTCAACCCAGGGCGGAGAGTCGCCTGTCACCAATGGCTGGCGCTTCCAGCAACAAGCGCAACATCTCGACTCATTGCCCTATGACAAGCATCTCCAGGCCTTGCTGCCACACCTCCCGGACTACCAGGACCAAATCCGAGAGAACCTGGTGATGTACAGGCAATGGCTCCTACGTGACATCACTGAAGAGGAGACGGCCTGGGCCCGCGATACACTTTTAGAGTCGGCAGTCTCGAGAGGCGAACTCCGGGAACTTTTCGAGCATGCTCTCCTCAAGCAGGTAAACCATACACTTCAGGCCAGTGCTGAGTCTCCTCGCCACGTTGATTCCACTCCGAACTTCCAAAATAGCATGGCTCTTCGCTTCTACCAAATCATCAATCCTCTACATGATGACGTCTACGAGGAGTACAAACCGTATGCGATCGTCTATAAGATGCTCACTCCCCTGAACCGCCAACGGGCTCGATCACTTCATCGAACTTTGTCGCACGAGAGGCACCAGTCCTTGCTTCGCCTTTTTGCACCCTAGCCTGCTAGCAACTTTGCTTGTGAGGTCCCCTCCTGCAAAGTAGAGCACCAGGTTAGCAACGTCTCTGTCCAACTAGGACACCAGCAGCCTTTTGCAAGCCAAGATAAAGCAGCGGAAAAGTCTCCTGCATCTCCAATTGCAGCACAGTCCCTTCTCACTAAGACTACTGCGGCATTCTCCGACAATAAGGTCTTCCTGCAGATAGAGTTGGAGCCTGATGCAGCGCCAATGCCTCAGCCCTGGCTAATTCACCTACTAACACATTCAAGTCTGCAGCTTTCTGCTTTCATTGAAGCTTGCCACCGCCGGGCTCAGCCTCTCCACACAGGCTGACCACGTGAGGTCTCCACCCGGCTAGCAAACCAGCCATGCCTTCACCGTCTCGCGAGGTTCTGCTCGAGATTCTCCTGAAGTCGCTCCACGTCCCAACGACCATCAACCTACCTGGCGGCATCAGTGAGCACATGGTCACATCAGCCTCAGCAAAAACTCATCTCGCCCCGAGGAGGCTCCTCTTCACTACAGAAGACCTTGAACGCATGGCAGAACGAAGCATGCGAGTAGCATCACGTCTCTGCAGCTTCATATGTCACTTGGATCGGTACCTGGCTTGGCGCGAGGGAAGACACACTGCCCTACCCCTTGAGGCTAGCCCACGTATCTTGGCAGGTAAGCGCAAGCACATCGACGACGAGCAGCCTTCAGCGCACCTACCCCCGAATATGGGGCCCCTCCAGCGCCAGCAAATCATGTACCTCATCCTCATGATCCAAAACTACACAAATGACGGAGAAGGCTCGCCGTCCTTTAGCACGTCCGATGCCGACCAGGCTAGTGCTTTAACCTGGCATTATCTCACCAGGAGGCTCTCGCAATCAGAGCTGAATGCCATTCTGCTCCGCACTTTGGAGCAGGCCAAGGTCATTCTGCAGTCTGAATTCACTCCAGCACATCAACGGAACCTACTCCAGATGCATCCCCAAACGACGGAGGAGAACTGGCAAGGCCAAGCATACTTCCCCCTAGGCCTCCGGCTTCAAGACCCACATCAGCTTGATCTTGACGCATACGATTTCAGAACGCTCAAAAGAGCATCACTTCAGCTTCGCCTACTACAACAACTGCGGACTATTACGGCCTCCACACCTACATCGGCCAGCGAACAGATCCGAGATGGCTGGGAATTCCTTGAACAAGACCGTGATCTCTCAAAGCTTGACTACGAGGACTACCTCACCAAACTGGTTTCAATGATCCCGCACTATCAGGAGACACTCCGAGAGACCCTGACACTGTACCGCCTATGGCTGTCAACCCCTCTGTCCGATGAGGACTTCCTGTGGGTGCGCAACCTGGTGGTGAATCAGCTTCTACCTAGAGACACTCTCCATCGCTACTTTGCTGACAGTCTCTGGCAACAAATACGACACAGATATGGAGGAGACCAAGGAGACCTCGAGCAGGCACAAGGAGTCATCACAATTCTTTCCCCGCTCCACGACCAGGTCTATGATGACTATAAGAACTTTGCTGTGGCGCTGACTCTGCTCCTCGTTCGACATCGTCAACGTCTGAAGCAGACGCTAGACGAAAAAATTCGGGGCTAGAGACCGTCCGAGCACCATAGCCTTCCAAACGAGTGAGGTCCCCTCCTGTTCACTGCACTATCTTCCCAAATTGCGGGAAAAAGCGTGTAGCTCCGATCTTCCCATGCCAAGCCTCACTAAGCACAGCTCTCCTCGCAAAGTTTTCCCTCAGGTTCGCACGAGTGAGGTCCCCTCCTGGCGAACTTCCACCTAGGCCCATGGCAGACCTTCACCCCGTCCTCAGCCGCGAACAGGCAATGGAGGTACTTCTTGAGTCTCTTTTCCTACCGCTGCCGGTTTACCCTACAACTCCATCTGGCGCCGCCGCAGCGAGCAATCTGGACCTGGCATCCTCACGCACCCCTGCGGGGGAAGCGATCCCACACTTGAACCGCCAGATACGGATAGCTTCACGCACTTGCAGCTTCTTGAAGCTGCTCGCGGAGAAAGTTCACCGGCACATGGGAGAGTTGCGGCTCTACCTTCCCAAAACTGCACCCCGAAATTTAGCCGCAAAACGGAAGCATGAAGAGATGATGCTGACAGAGCCTCGCTCTCCTACTCTGACGTACCATCAGAAGCGCCAGCTCCTCTTCATCTCTCAGGCGATTCGAGACTACACCAATGATGGTCCTGGCCAGAACTCCTTCCAGCTCGAAGATGCGGAGCCTACCACCCAGCGCATCTGGACGTACCTGACGCGCCACTTCGGCCAAGGTGAGGTGCACTTTATGATTGCCAACGCCCTGTCGCATCTACACCTTCTCATGCGATCGTCAACTCCACGCCTACTCTCAGGCATTGAGCAGTCACAGCCATCGCATGCTCCAGGACAAGGCTCGGACTACTTCCCTGAAAATCTTCGTCTGCACGATGACAAGCAACTGGACCTTCAATACTTCGACTTGCAGGCGCTAAGGCGAGCCTCCACAGTATACCGGGTGCAGCAGCTGCTCAAAGTCTCTTCTTCCGCTGAAGGGGCATCGCCAGTTAAGAACGGATGGCGCTTTCAACATCAGGACCATCACCTCAATGCTTTGTCCTACGACCAACATCTCCTGGCTCTGCTGCCTCATCTTCCGCACTACCAGGACCAAATTCGCGAGGATCTGGTCACGTACAGGCAGTGGCTGCTTCGAGAGATCAATGCAGAGGAAGTTTCTTGGATTCGATCCATGATCACGGACACGGTGATCTCGCGAGGTGAACTACTGGAGCTCTTCGAGGATGCCCTGCTCAAGCAAGTCAACTCTGCATTTCGAGCTACTGCTGGCATTCCTAACCCTGAGGATCATCCTCAAGACTTCCAGAACAGCATGGCCCTCCGCTTCTATCAAATCATCAATCCGCTCTATGATGACATCTACGAAGAGCACAAGCCCTACGCAATAGTGTTCAAGATGCTCACCTCCTCTCATCGTAGACGGCTTCGGTCCCTCCTTCGAGCCCGAGAAGCTGCCATTCTGGCGTCCCCATATCGGACAACCAGCCTGGTTCCAGTATGCGAGTGAGGTCGCCTCCAGCAAACTGAACCATAGCATCCCTAAGTTCCTCTAGTCCGAATTCTGGACTTAATCACACCTCCAGACCACTGCTCGCACTGCAGAAGAAAAGCCTCCATGCCTCATAATGCACAAGTGCCAGCCTGCATAGCTGATGCCCCCCAGACTCGGCCTGCCTGCCAGCTTGCCTGCTGAGGTTGAAGACCAATCTCGCAGAGACGTGTACAGAAGCGCAACCCACCTGGCTTGCAATGGCCAGGACATCGAAACAGACCAGGTCCCGAACGAGTAGGTCACTTAATTTTCACCCTCGATGCCCGCCAAGGTGTGGGACATGACCCGCACATGCGTTCGAAATGAAATGAAATGTGTTGTTGTTGTTGTTGTTGTTGTTGTTGTTGTTGTTGTTGTTGTTGTTGTTGTTGTTGTTGTTGTTGTTGTTGTTGTTGTTGTTGTTGTTGTTGTTGTTGTTGTTGTTGTTGTTGTTGTTGTTGTTGTTGTTGTTGTTGTTGTTGTTGTTGTTGTTGTTGTTGTTGTTGTTGTTGTTGTTGTTGTTGTTGGTTGTTGTTGTTGGTTGTTGTTGTTGGTTGTTGTTGTTGGTTGTTGTTGTTGGTTGTTGTTGTTGGTTGTTGTTGTTGGTTGTTGTTGTTGTTGTTGTTGTTGTTGTTGTTGTTGTTGTTGTTGTTGTTGTTGTTGTTGTTGTTGTTGTTGTTGTTGTTGTTGTTGTTGTTGTTGTTGTTGTTGTTGTTGTTGTTGTTGTTGTTGTTGTTGTTGTTGTTGTTGTTGTTGTTGTTGTTGTTGTTGTTGTTGTTGTTGTTGTTGTTGTGTTGTGTTGTTGTTGTTGTTGTTGTTGTTGTTTTGTTGTTGTTGTTTTGTTGTTGTTGTTTTGTTGTTGTTGTTTTGTTGTTGTTGTTTTGTTGTTGTTGTTTTGTTGTTGTTGTTTTGTTGTTGTTGTTGTTGTTGTTGTTGTTGTTGTTGTTGTTGTTGTTGTTGTTGTTGTTGTTGTTGTTGTTGTTGTTGTTGTTGTTGTTGTTGTTGTTGTTGTTGTTGTTGTTGTTGTTGTTGTTGTTGTTGTTGTTGTTATTCCTCCTGCTGCTGCTGCTGCTGCTGCTGCTGCTGCTGCTGCTGCTGCTGCTGCTGCTGCTGCTGCTGCTGCTGCTGCTGCTGTTGTTGTTGTGGTTGTGGTTGTTGTTGTGGCTGCTCCGCCCGGGGCGTGCCCGGCTGTGGGCGACAGCCCCTTTAGATAAACCTCGGTTGGCAATTCATATCGTTGCCTTGCTCTTGAGCGGACGAGCATCTCGCCTTGTTGCAAGCCCCTTTTTGGCCTGCATAGCTTTTTGCAATGTGCTGTAGTCATTCGTTTGCCTGAGTGTGGGTGGTCCTCTCTTTGACATAGACAGGAAGAGTATAACGACTATGGCGCTTGCTGAGGCTAAGCAGTTTCCATGCAAGTAAAGTTTGCCTTGTCGGATGCTTGCTTCTCTCCAACTTCTATGGAAAATGGACACCCTTTCTTTGGCATTTGCATCAGCCCATGCTACTGTAGACGCCAGCATAACATGCACAAAAGTGTTGCCGAGGAGCGCGGTGGCCTGGCGCATGATGTACAGCTCCGGCATGCCGTGGAGCGGCCCAAGCGCCGTGCAAGAGATCTGCGTGCTTTCAGGACTTCTCATGTCTCGTGGGTGATCGTGGGTGAAAGCTGGGGTCAAGAGTCCACACTCACAGGCTTCTTGCGTTGCGGCTGCAGCCTCCTGGTCATTGAGGTACTTGTAGGACACACGCTTGACCTGGACAATCTCCATTGGCACTAATCCGATGCGGCTCATGTTGCATCCCATGTTGCATCCGACCTCCTCTGCGTCAACTGCATCGATGCGGAGCCTGGCGAATGGGCGAATGGGCTCTCATTGGAGAAGGGCAGCCCCGTCGAAAGGCAAACAGAAGGCAAGTCTACACCGTTTGGGTCCGACTAGCATTGAGATCAGATCCAACATATTTACTGAAAATATGTAATACAGTGTGCGTTTGACTCGTTCCTTGTTTCTTTCCAAGGTTATCTGAGTCTGCCCAGAACCTGTGTGCAGGCCGCTGAAATCTTGTCAGTGGATCCTCGAGCTGTTCCTTGCATTCTCCAAACCCGGTTGCTTGCAGCACAGCGGGCTCAAGAAAGGCGGGCAACGCGGGAACACCCGAAAGCAGCACTTCGGCAGTGCAAAGGTCGGGTGAGAGCAAAACAGATCTTCACAAGATCGGTACACCTCGGCCCACTTTTTTCCGCGAGGGCTGAATGGTCTGCACGGTCAACCCTCTCATCGTGCCCAGGCTACAGCGGCTGCAGCGGCTACAGCTACAGTGCACAATGCTCAAGCTCCATCAGGAGGGCCTCTGCCTCGTCGCTGAGGACCAGCTCTGAACTGCGATCCACGGCAACATGCAAGTCGCCGACGGCAATGCTCGCAGGCCCACTCCGCAACGCATTTAACGTTGATGAGGACAACAGAACCGGATGGCTCTCAAGCTCTGCTGCCTCACTGAGCGTCAGGGCTCGAACCTGACGTCCAACTGCATGCAAGCAGCGGGGATCATGCTCAAGAGTCGCGTGTGAGAGGGCACTCGCCAGAATAAACTGATTTCCAGAGTCGGATGCTGGCAAGGCATACCAGAGTTGGTTTGCTGCCGGTCTTAGCTTCTTCCATAACCACACCTTTTGATTCTTCGCGCTGGGGTCAGCATCGATGTCAACTACGTGCCTGCTCCCTGTGCGAATCCAGAAAGGGCCAGCAGGTTCAACTGTAGGACTTGCGACTGGTGCACCGACGGTCTCTGCAGTGCTGCACTGAAAGTTGTACTCAAAGTTGATGACATTGGATGTGTGATAAATATCCATTGCAGCATTGCTAAATGTTGTCGTGAAGGTAGCTGAGCCTTCCGGCACCGTACGCGCAACGAACCCGTGCTCATCATGAACGTGACCAAAGCAATGCAAGGGAACTTGTCTGGCTCGAACGTGCTCAAGTAGTGATGCACATCCCCAGTGGGCAAAATTGCCCTTGTGGCGCGCTCCCTCGCCGCAGATCCTGCAGTCATACGTGCCGGAGCCATGGCTTAACCATGCTAAATCGAGGATCCCAAGCGGTGGTTGATGCGTGATAAGGATATCGACATCTGGAGGAATCCTTGCCCAACGAAGTTCACGCTCCTGCTGATTCGCACGCCAGGCCATGGAGCAATGATTCCAAGAGCTCCCGTAAAACTTCACTCCTTGGACTGTGACCCCGGAATCATTCAAGAGGATTGGTCGCCGAAAGCCATTCAGCGCTGCAGCTTCTGGCGTATCGCATCCAAGGTATTCCTCGAGGTCTGGTCGCCTGTCAAGTAAGAGCTCGTGATTCCCGCACACAAGAATCTTGTAGCGGTGCGGTTCCTGCAAGAACCATGTGAGGAATGCGCGGATGGCCTACAAGCACAGAAGCACAGGGACAAGAGGACAAGGCCCTCGCACGTTAACGGACCTAGTATGACTTGCTTAGACGCACAGGATGGAATAATTGTAGTCACGCACGCACACACACACACACACACTGTGGCTGTAGGCGACCCTGCACTTTAGAGGCCATGAACAGATTAGTGCCTGGTACTCCCACTTCAAAAATGGAACATGGTATGTCACATGCAAGAGGCCTCCGGCTCCTCATCTCCTGCATTCGTGAAGTCACCACTGTGGATTAAAACATCCCCGTGTGGGAGCTTCCCGCCGTAGTTGCCATTGTGCGTGTCTGAGATGTGGACAATTCGCAGACACGTGGTCTTCAAGCTGCCGTCTCGCTGTACATCCCGTGACTTTACTGTCACTTCCATTGGCGGCTTGACCGGACTCATGGCGGGATGCAATTGCTCTTCACAAACGGGCGCATTAAGCCAAAATCACATGGTTCCGACTGCTAACCACTGGCCCTCAACAGCAACTTGCACCATTTGGATGGACGAGATGCAATGCTGGTGAAGTCTTCAATCGCGCCAGATTGCACATCATCTCTGCTGGGGGAACCCCACGACCGTAGGCCAAGACCTCCTTGCCCACCTGGCTGCAATCACGACTTGACGTGACTCGACCGTTACTCGTCGTCTAAGTCTGCTAAGCTGGCTTGCCATGGCTTGCCACACTATAGAGCTACAGGTGGCCTACAGGCGGCCTATCCATGCCTACCCCTTCTTCGAGATCTTGACTGTCTTAACTTGCCGCAAAGCCATAGCCTGGTTGCAGCTGTCGCGGGTGCTGCCAGAGCCGTTGACGAGGGTGGCTTTGAGTTCTCGCTTTGCACGCTCCACCTGGGCACAAAATGCAACGCGCTTTAAGTGCCCATTGCGGCTCTTGTCCTGGCCTCCTCATCGGTCACCGAGAACGAAAGCAAGTTGCAGCCGAACATAAGTTCGCCGACCGCATGTTCCACAGCGACCTGGCCACAAAGAACTCGTGAAAAATATTTCTGCAAGAGCGCGTCCACAGTATGCCACATCAGCTTTGATATGTGTGGCTTGAGCCTCATCGCAGACAATGTACCAACCGAACCTTTTCTCAACGCAGGTTCACGGTTTTTCCAGCTGTTGCGCTGCAGATTGCTGCAGCTTAAAGGAGCACAGCAAACAGCACAGTGCAATGTTGAGGTGCGCAGAGTTGCCCCGGGATCCCCGCATGCCAGTGTCCTTGTAGAAATGCATGAAGCATTCATACTCCTGGCCAAGTGCAAGTGTGAGCTGCGACGCAAGCGATGCTATCATCAGGTCAAGAAAGGTCATGAACAGTCCTCAGCACAACCCACGCCTGACAGTCTCAAACGTAGGGGTCTGAGGGCCCTTTCTCACACAACGCGCAATGATCAAATTAGGTCGGCACCCATCTTGTTTGCCACAGAGTTTGTGACACGGTTGCCTATGCAGTTGCACAGCAGCAAGCCGGCACACCATGCACTGCTGGAAGCGGGAGGGAGAGAAGAATAGAGACAGAGGGACGCGGAGGCAGAACAGAAAGAGAATGAGAATGAGATATTTTGTAGCCACTTGGCTCTAATGTCCAATGTCTCGTCGCATGTGCCGACCTGCCTGAGATGCTGCCAGGCACCAGCCCTGCATTCTTCTTGTAGCTGCCAATGATTGCCTTTGTTGCTCGGGGGGAGCCCCTTAAAACCCGACGGGGTCACGTGGGGTCAAGAGTTCACCTTACATCCAGCAGCCTGCCGGAGAACAAAACAGATCTATGTCCTCAAGATCTCTCATGAAGGCCTGCATCACCATGAAGGTCACAGCATCCGGGCCTGGGAAGCGAAGCGCGGCACATTCCGAAAAGCATCCGCGAAACATGACGCACCCTCTTAACTGGCCAGGGGGCTCTTCCAGGGAACGGCCTCCCAACCTGTGGAGATATAGGCCAGGGGACCCATCTCGTCGTTGCGGTAGAGGAGCTCAGGCGAACGACAATTCGTGACAAATCGTGGCATGTCGCGACAATCGACAAGCAGTCCTGCGCACCGCAGAAGTAGGGCTTCGTGGTATAGACCCGAGGAGGGCCAGCCTTCATTAGGAAACAAGACACGAAACGAAAACCTGCAAGTTGCGACTGTGTGAAATTCACGAAATCCAAACACCCTCGGACCCTCAGGCACGCCTTGACACCACCGAAGGCCTTTTCGGCCAGCTTCACAAGCTCTTCATGCTTCACAGCTCCTCATCCCAGGTCGCTGTCCAAGCAGAAACTGAGCAATTGGCACAGTGCAATCGAATGAACCGCTCCGGAAGACGCAATTACCATCTTATCAGCTGTGAAGTTGGTCTCATGGTACTTCTTCAAGTGGTCCTGCTCTGTTGAGAACTGATTCAGTTTGCTGCGCAACACATGCTTATGTGGCCAGGGCGAATGCTGCCTGAGTCAGGGTCTCAATGCCCTCAAATGGCCCCACCGTAGAAAAGCCCAGGGAGTAGTCCCGGAAGGCACATGCGTGAAGCCTGTGCACGAACTGGGGCTCGTCCACTGTCTAGCATGATGAGCAGACTACAGAAGCAACTCCAACTGCCTGTCATCAATAACTTGGCGGGTTGGCTGCTCAACATCCTGCCATGATCGCGGGAATCTCAGCAATGCAACTCAATGAAGTGGTGTATGGCCTGGTGGCTGAAAGGAGCAATTTTCAGCGAAGGTTAGTGATGTGTGATGAAAGGAAAAGCAAGAGATAGCTACTCAAGGACTGACAGTCTTAGCTTTTGGTGCTGTAGCTTTACATATCTCTACATCATATGGGACCGTCACTACGACGAGCATGCAACACGTCGTCCAAACTAATGCTGACATTTTCGGAAACTTTCCTTGGCTATCTGCAACAAATGGGCAAGGGGCTCATAAGTAAAGTGCACACTGTGACAATGCGCGTGCAAATCGGCACCCCTAACTGATTTCTGCGACTTGCCCAACTTGCCCCACTCGCTCTGGTCTAGTAGCGGGAACCGATATGCGCCAGTTCCCCGCTTTGCTCCATGCGCACCGCTAGCAAATTTCTGCCACTTGCCCCACCTGCCCCATCTACCCTTGTCCGACTTACCCCACTTGCCACACCTGCCCCACCCCTATCTGCCCCACCGGCCCCAAACTGCACCTCCCTGCCCCCCGTCACTTGATTCTTGGGTTCAATGGCGCAGCCTTGGCCACAAGTCTGCCATAACAGGGGTCAGGGGAGCAGTGTTGCCCCACTTGCTCCACTTGCCCCACTTGCCCCACTTGCTAGGCAAGGATGTTTTCGCAGCAAATATATACATAAAACTGATGACACGAAAGAGAATCGGATCCGGTGGGGCGGCAAGCGAGGAAAGTGGGGCAAGCGGGCAATTGGGGCAAGCAGGGCAACTCAAACAGCTCTTCTGGGCTAGCAAGTGGCGCAGTGGGGCAAGTGGGGGCGACATCAACCTGCGCTTGCGGAAAAGCAGGTGGGGCAAGTGGGGCAATATCAATTCGTGGCTGCTGCAGGCAGGCGCTCGCAATGCACTGTTACGCCTTGCAAGTGCACGTAGGCATTACGCCTCATAACCTCACAAAAAGTGCCTCACATCCGCACGTAGGGAGTGAGTTTTCTTTACGATGCCCCTAAAGCGCATGGGATCCACAGGACCGGTGTTTAACAGGTTGTTGGGTCCAGCACGGTGCCTCTAAGAGAGTCTCCAACTCCATGGAGGAGTCTCTACATGTCTCTACACTGAAAGTCTCTACCAGCTCTCAGAGGAGTTGTTGGGCTCAGTGCGGTGCTCCATGGGGTCTCTACCAGAGGTTGAGTGGCTAGTACGGAGCCATAAAAAGGGTCCCTACACGGGTCTCTGCCAGCAATTGAGTTGTGGAGGCACTGTTTTAGGGCTGAAAATTTGCCACCCGACACCTGCAAGGACCAAGCGGGGAGGCCTCAAGCTTGCGCAAGATGCCCTGCTTCTCTTTGGCCAAGTTGCCAAGCGCCTTACTACGGAAGCATGATAAAACATTGCCAATCTTATTGACAGCGTGCAAGTTCAGAGGCCACGTAAGGATTTGACAGGAGCAGTGACCATATCTGCCAGAATGTCGACACCCTTGATCCAAGGACGAAGTGCGCACACACCCACAAAAATCCAAGACGCAAAAACACAGATTGCTCGATAGCTGGACACACCTGCGCGAGGTCGCCTTTGAACATGGTCATGTTGAAGGCGGAACTGGAGGGCAATGTGTTCAAGCTTAACGAAAAACAAGAAAGACAGCGACGCAACAAAGTAACAGCAAATGTCGAACTCAGCTCTTCATATCGTGGGTTTCGCGCTGCTCGCGACCATAGCTCAGGTCCAGGGTCGCCCCCAATGACCTAAACACATCCACCGTAGCAGTGAACGGTTTGCCTCAGGTCAGAAGCAAAACCCGCTCCAAGAGCTAAGGCTCGAACTCAATCTCTGCTTCAAGTTTAGCCATTGGCCTGGTCACACAAAGTTGTAGCGCCGAGGTGCCTTCTGAAGCCTTGAGCCCCCAAATAAACAAGCTGTACAAGCTGTGAAATGTCACAAGCAAGAAGGAGCATTTGAGACACCTAGGGTGCTTAGGATGTGCTTAGGGGTGCTTAGGGGTGCAGAGGGCTCAGCAGGGTTGGGGTGACCAAATGGGCATGTGACAGTGGCCATGCCTACGCTTGATTGCTGCCCACCTCTTCGTTGTGCCAGTGAGCGAGAGTTGTTCCAACAGGTAGGTGGCACCTTCATCATCAAGCAAAACTAGGTTGGATTAAGCAGGCATCTGAAGCAGCGCACGCGCATGCACTGTCGGGGGCATGCACAACATCATCCAAGATAAGTCCAGGACCCTACAACACATACACATGCATACATACCAGTAATAGAAAGTCCAAGGAAGAAACCTCTTGTCTCTTTCGTCTCATCTCGGACCTCAGACGCCACAGGTGAGACAACGCGCCACACACACACAAAATGCATGTGATCATAGGTCTTGAAAAGCACTTGGGGTAAAATGTGCGGGATCGTGCCCTCACAGCCGTCACACATGACGGAGCAAAAAGGGCAAGGTACGTCCACAAAACCACGAGTCGCGTCGAGCTCCCCACACCAGCATCCAGATAGACACCCACGGAGGCCGTCTGCCCAAGGACGAGTACAGTTGTACTTTATAGAACACACACACACACACGGAGAGTCACAGCAAAGAGCTGCAGGCACCTTGCTCTTTTTTCGATTGCCGTCGTGCTGACAAGACACGGTGGTTTGCTTCAAGGATGGCAGTGCCATTTTGGCAGATTCCGAACCGGGAGCTGGCAATATCATTAATGTTGATGGCATACTAACATCCTTGTTGCTTGTGGACGTCCACACCAGACTGTACATGAAACCGAGAAGCATCGCCTGATCAAAAGAAGCCCGGTAAGAGGATCGAAGATCGCCAGAGCAGCATCTAATGTAGCAGGATTTCCTTCCCAAACCTTTGCCGACATCGATACTCGGAAGTGTCGGGTGATGTACTATGATGATAGGGGATGGCGAGGCGGACTGTCTGCGGTTCGGATTTGAAGTGCAGGCTGAGCAAAGTCGTATGTTTTGGATGCCACCACTGACAGTCCGCAACACTGAAAACGCAAAAAGTTGCAAAGTCGGCTTGTGTATTCTAAGCCTTGGAAGCAAAAAGCGGAAAGAAAAGACGAGCGCGGTGCACAAGGTGTACTGGGAAAGCCCTGGAAAAGCACCGGCATCAACAGCGCATGGCCACGGAAAAGACCACGTCGACAGTGAAAAGAGAGAGCGATGGTGCCTTCTGGCGACCTTTAAATTTGTATTGCCTAGGAGCGACGTCGCAAGGTGAAAGGCTGTCACATGCTCACTAGGCACGATACGAAACTTTATCCTGACCATGCAGGGTGAAACAAAGCAGATGCGCCCAATCCGGCACTGTCATGGAAGCTGATGGTTTACATCAGGAAGCGGAAAGTAGGGGAAACTCGGAGCGCATGGCGCTCCACCGAAAAGAGGTCTTGTGTCTATACTGATATCTCTACTGAGGTGTGCATGCAAGCTCGGTCACGCTCAAGATTGAATCATCCGAAAAAGACCGGGTCGAGCCCATAGAACTGCATGGGCTCAAGGTCGAGCCGGCATCGTGTTGGTCATCCTGCGCACAAACATACCCAGGACCTCCTTGTTCAGGCTTACCGTCAGAAACTTTGGACTTAAGCGCTTCAGGAGAATGGTGACAATGGCAGTGCCCCAACATACACAAAATCATACAGGATGGTGAGACCAAAGGCATGACCGCTGATTGCCGGCAGCTCGCGAGACAACACTTCACACAAGTTCAAAAAGAGCCGCTGTGCTTTGCTTCGAGGCTTCGAGCCGATGTTGTGGAGCTAGAGAAGCCCATATCAACGAGTCATGTCATAGCTAGTCCGACAAAGATGAAAACATGTAGCAAAAGGCTTGAGGGTACCAGACAATATGCAGGCTTGCCGAGCAGAACATGATTGGAAATCAAACCATGGCAGTACAAGAAGACGTTTCTGGTGAGTAGCCTGAGGGATGAAAGTGTGAAGCAGACGTCGGCTTGCTGCTGCTGCCAAGCTGGCTTGCAACGGGAGAAGTCTTGGATCTAGCAGCGACAAACCAGGAACCGGGGAAAACTCTGATGTCCTCGTCCTCCGAATCGAGTTCCAAAATGGTGGCGCATGCAAGGGAGCGGCATCCGCGCTTCTCCACGGGCCGTGGTGAGTAAACCTACCAAGTCAAGAACCCATGGAAATTGAAGAAAGCCACCACATCTGCAAGACACCGTTTCTGAAAACGAGATCCTACGGTCGGCGACACATCTGGGCCTCTGCACCAGAACACCTCAGATTGCAGCAGGTGTTTGAAGGACTCACTAATTCGGCACTGCATGGCACGCACCGATCCCCAAGCAGCGATGGATTCAGAGGCGATATTTACATATATACATATGTATATATGTATATGAATATATATATATATATATATATACATATATGGTCCCCCCCCCCCCATCCACACCTATGGTTTTCCTGTCTTTGTCTTTGTCTGATTTTCTGCTTTTTCCTCGGAAAAAATGGTGTAAAAACTGTACTGGAATAACAAAAAGCTCTATTATACTATCCCCTGTAAAAACAATAGTGTTTTTATGTGCATTTTGCTTCTGAAACGTTTGTCTTGCGGCTCCATCACATTTTAGAAAGGCAGCCATTTAGAATTTTAAGGCTTTTCAGGGTTTTAGGGGTTTTTGTAGATTTAGATGATCTGCGGAAGGCACCGCGGCTTCCCCAGACCATTGCAAATTTTTAACATCCTTCAAATCCTTAGTTTTTTTGAACGGGCAGCCCTTTTAAAAGTTTAAGGGCTTTAAGGTATTTAAACCCACTCAAAATTTTGAGGATTTGAATTTTTGTTAGAAGGCTTTGAAACCCTCAGAAACCTGAAAACTGCTATCCCTTAAGATTCTAAAATACCTTAAAATTTTAAAAGGGCAGCCGTTTAAAATTAAGGAAGTTACGGGTTTTAGAATTGAACATCCTAAAATCCTTAAACTTAAAAAGACAGCCATTTACAACTGTAAGATTTTCAGGGTTTTAAGGATTTGTAAAAATTCACATGGTCTGGGGAAGGCACCGGGGCTTCTCCAGGCCATTGACAACTTTAACAATCCTGAAAATCCTAAAAGGGCAGCAACATTTTAAGGTTTTAAAAGGCTTTAGGGTTGTAAAGTTTAGATGGTCTGGGGAAGCCCCGGTGCCTTCCCAAGACCATGTAAATTATCAAAAAATTTTGAAAAATTGTCTGGGGAAGCCCCTTCGCCTTCCCCAGATCATTTAAATTTGTAAGAACCCTTAAAACCCTTAACCCTGAACCCTAAACACTCAGCACCAGACCCCAAACACTAACCCGAAAAACCTAACACTAAGCCCTTAGCAAAACCCCAGACACTTCACACGAAACCCTAAATACTTAAGCACAAAACCCTAAACACTAAACCCTAAACACGTAAACACTACGCCCTAAAAACTAAAACCTAAACATTACACACTAAACCCTAAGAAGGATTTTAAAGTTGTCAATGGTCTCGGGAAGACCCGGTGCCTTCCCCAGATCATGAATTTTGTAAAAATCCTTAAAACCCTTAACCCTAAAAACCAAACCCGAAACCCTTAACACTAAACCCAAACACTCAGCACTAGACCCTAGACACTAACCCTAAAACTTAACACTAAGCCCTCAGCACAAACCCCAAACACTTAACACGAAACCCTAAACACGTAAGCACTAAACCCTAAACATTACACACTAAACCCTACACACTGCACCCTGAACACTAAACCCTAAACCCTAAACAGTAAACCCCAAAGCCGGAACCTCAAGCCCTGCTAAATCTAAACCTGAAACCAAAACCCGTCGGGGTTTCAGATGCTTACTGTTTGGATTTTAGTGTTTAGGGTTTTATGTGGTTTAGGGTTTTAGCCAAGCCGCTTGACCCTAAACCCTAAACATAAACCCTAAACCCTAAACTTAACACTCAACCCGAAACAACAAATCCTGAACCCTAAACCCTCAACACTAAACCCTAAACCCCAAACCAAGAACACCATAGGGGTTTCAGTGCTTTAGGGGTTTTAGAACTTAGTCATTTCAGGTTCAGGGTTTTAGACTTTATCCAAGTCGCTTCCCTAAAAAGTAAACCCTAAACCTTTAAAGCCAAAACCTAAACAATAGACCCTAAACACTAAATTACTAAACCCTGAACCCGAAACACTGGGCCCCGGACTCCAGACTCCAGATTGCCAGGGTGAATCTGGAGTACCGGGCCCCGGACTCCAGACTCCAGATTGCCAGAGTGAATCTGGAGTACCGGGACCCCGGACTCCAGACTCCAGATTTCCGGAGTGAATCTGGAGTACCGGGACCCCAGTCTCCAGACCACGGACTCCAGATTCTGGAGTCCAGGGCCCCGATACTCCAGATTTATTCTGGAAATCTGGAGTCTAGAGTCTGGGGGTACTCCAGATTCATTCTGGAAATCTGGAGTCTGGAGTCCCCGCCCTCCCAAAACCCCAAATGTGTGGATCATGGGGGGGGGGGGATGGGGGCGAGCATATATATATATATGTATATATATGTCTATATCTATATGGTCACACCCCCCTTCCCCCCGATCTAGGTTTCTTTGTCCCTACAAAACCCTCTTAAATACCGATGAACATGACATGCTGGCTATGTCAGGTGATGTCCTGGTTTTGCACGTCCAATCGTATGTGAGAAAGCCTGTAAATCGTGAAACAAAACGTGTGTGTTTTGCACTACTTGCACATCATCACCTAAAAAAACACCGAAAAAAAACATACGAAAACGCAATTTAGTGAACATGTGTGTTCCTCTTTTGCATAGGACGGGCTTATAAACCCAGAATTGCATGCAAAAAGCACTTTTTTTGCGAAATTTGGGAGGCCGCCTTTTTTGGGAGGCCGCCTTTTTTGGGTTTTTTTGGTTTTCCCGAGGCTTTTTTCGGTTTTTTTGGAAAAAGCCAAAAAAAAAAAAACATGTGTTTTTTGGGATTTTGCTTGTTCCTGGCCTCAAAAACCAAAAAAACACAAGGTGTTTTGTGGGATTTTCGCTCAAATCCAAAAAACCCTCGTGCTTTTTTGGATTCCAGGTGCTCCTGGCCTCAGAAACCAAAAGGAACATTTTGTTGTGGGGATTTTCTTTCAAAAAACCCAAAAAACCCTCGTGTTCTTTTGATTTTCAACCCGCGGAGAGTAAAATCCAAAAAACACCTGGTTTTTGTATATTTTTCAAAAAAACTCAAGAAAACCAAAAAAAAAACAAAAAAGGCGGCCTCCCGGCTCCATGGTTTTGGGTTTTTGGGTTTTGGGTTTTTTTAAAACATTTTTTGCAAACAATTTCTCTTCTTGTATAAACAATGTGTATTGTCATAAGTTGTTTCTTCTAATGTGACTGACTTGCACACACGCAGAGAATAACACACAAACACCCCCACCATTTCGTTTTGTATTTAAATTCAGCCTATTCGGTATGTAGGGCGTGGCGTTGACATGTAAAGTTCCATTAGATTAAATCACGAATGACGCTTAGA